CGTATTTGCTCATTGGAAATCATGGAAAAAACAATATATTAAGAAAACTGTTTCGGACAAACTGGAAGGCAGGCATCCCAAGATATGCAATTTCATTGAAAGGCGTTCTTTGGGAAAATGAGGGAACTGGATGCCCAGGTCGTCGTCAGATTTTAGAAGCTTTACAACGAACAATTTTTGGGCTTTATCCAGATTTTTATTTGGCCTCAAATTTTTCGCCGGTACAAAATTTTCCTCAACTGCCACACTACCGTATTCATCAACTGTTTGTGGTCTTTGCTGATGAGCATTCTCATCCTACGTGATGTCGTTTTCAATCATTTGCCTGTCCGCCTCCTGCAGACGTACCAACCAGATACACTGAGTCCTTGTTTATTACCATCATCACAAGGTCACAAAAAAACACACTCGACTGGACCTTAGCAAGTTTTTCTTCAGTCAACGAGTTCTACGACTTTGGCACTCGCTAACAAACAAGACGGTCTTCGCCGACACCAGTGCTAATTTAAAAAAAAATGCATGGCATTTTATTTGCCGAAGTACGAATTTTTTACAACGTGATTTCTTAACGTCAAACTTGCGAATATTTTCCTGAATCTTGTTTGTTATTTACTGTTACCTCTTTACCGATAAAACAAGTGCAATATTGACTGCAAAAGAGGGAGTTTGTTTCAGGTATTTTCCTGTCTTTCAGAGTTTAGAAGCTGCTCAAGCGGTACTTTACGAATAAACCTTATTTTTAAACTTGCGTTTAAACTGGCAATAACTAAATAACTTGCAAAAAAGGACGATGTCTCGAAAAAGTTCAGCATTGGGCAACCAAGCAAATATTTTGTCAGAAAAACCACTCTTATGTTTTCGGTCCTTTACTCTCTTCGTTCATTCTGTAAATGACGGCCTTCAATTCTAACAACAAAGAACGCCGACTCTAATTTAGAGCATCGTCATTAAATCGTATCTGAAATTTGATTGGTTTGATTGGAAGTGCGTCAAGTAAGGTGTAACTG